AGATTTTAGCGATGGGTGTGGAGAAGGAAGTAATCAGACCCGGCACCGGTCCTAAACCCGCTCCGGGTCAAACCGTCACCGTCCATTGCACCGGATTTGGTAAGCTCTCTCTAAAAATCTCTTAATCGAACTCTCTTTGAAATTCCATGATTGCGAAATCGATCTATTCTACAAATCTACTTTTTCCATTTGGTAGTATCTGGATATGTTGGTGTAGAAATGGATTTAATTAGGGTTTTATATTCTGAGATTAGGTCATAATTAATTTGTAATTTTTTTGTTATTTTCCTGATTCGTTTACTAGATTCTCTTGTTTAGGTTTTTGTAGTTGTAGGTTTATTGGAAAAAACTTGAAAGATACTTGATTATATCTGATAAATCCAGTTTCTTGTATGACTTTTGAAACTTAATTTGTAATGCTTTTTGTTTGCTTTCAGGGAAAAATGGTGATCTATCCCAGAAGTTCTGGAGGTAAATCCACACTCGCTTTATAAATCAATATGTTTAGTCTTGTAAAGTCTTGTTTACGTTTTGGTGTTTCCTAAGGAGACTAAATGTGTTTTTGGCTCTTTGGTATGTAACATAGTACAAAGGACGCTGGACAAAAACCTTTCTCCTTCCAAATCGGTAAAGGTGCTGTGATCAAAGGTAATAACTTTGTCCGTTTCATGTTTCGATCATATCATATGTATGGCTTTTCCCTTTTCGGAGGTATGATATGATTCCAAACCGTTTTGAATTTGCTTATAGGATGGGACGAAGGTGTTATCGGAATGCAAATCGGAGAAGTTGCTCGCTTAAGGGTATGTATAAAAATTCTTCCTTCTCATCTTGAAAACATTCTTTATATCTTCGTGTTCCTCTTTCCCAAGTTTTGCTTTCATGAATCCTAAAGCTTTGTATCTCTATTGAAAGCATTTGTCTCCAATGATAGTTACTTAAACCTTGTTCTAGGTAGAAACCATTCGTGTGTATGTGTGTTTTTAACATATTCAGCTTGCGACTTGTTTTGTGTTTCTGCAGTGCACACCGGATTACGCATATGGTGCTGATGGATTTCCATCATGGGGGATCCAACCAAACTCGGTTCTCGACTTTGAAATCGAAGTACTAAGCCTGCAGTGATGATCTCTCTCCAGGCTCTGAAACTGTGGGAAGATTATTATTATTATTAATCTATGAAAAAAGCACAAAACTTGAATGTTAAGTTATTAAGTGGTTACAATCCTTTATCTTATACTTGCTTATGGGATCTTCTAAACTCTTGGAGACAACGTTTGATCTAAAATAAAAGACCCAACTCTTGTTTCAGTTCAAATCTTTGTATTCTTATGAGATTATTGTTGTTATTTTACTTTCTTATAACTATCAGATTCAACCCAAATTCAATCCAATCTAAAACAAACCCAAAAGGTACATTATCCCAAATCCTAATTATGTTAGGATTATTCATTTGAATGCTTAGAGTGTGAATATGGTTGTCAAATCAAAATGCCAGACAAGAAGAATGCTTTGTAGATCCAAAACAAATTTGGATTTGGGTACCATAATGTAAAACCATGATGAAGTTTGAATTGAACACTTGCTAAACACAGTAATTAACTAATTACTATTCTTAAAATCAAATCAAAGGAGGAACC